CTGGGAGTGGCGGCAGCTTGGTGGCCGCTCACCTCCATTCAGAGGAATGGAAACACTGACTGCACATTTATCAAACACGTGATGGGTGCCAGAAAGCCGAACCAAAGTGTGTGTTCCAAGAATTCCCCGTACTGAGAAGGGGAAATGGACTAGGCCCTGAGACCTAACCAAGAAGCCACCTGCAATTGCTACCCACTTGCAAAAGAAAAGCTAGTTTTCTTCAATGGAATCCTACTGGGTACACTAACCACATTTAAGGGCAGGCTCCGTGCCCAGCAGTAGATGGACCACACAGAGCAAACCCCATGGTATTTTTGTAGACTTTTTGTCCCAGCATGCTTTGGATATATATATTGTCTTACTGGTCTTCTTGTATGTCATGGTTTTCAATTTTGTATTTTTATTTATTTATTTTTTTGTGTATGTTTTTTTCTTCTTTTAATTCTCTCTCTTTTTTTGCCATCTTGTTTGCTTTCCAAAAAGCAAGGAAAAAAAAAAGATGTGGAAGTGGGTGGGTGGGGAGGTTGGAAGGATTTGGGAGTTGGGGAAACCATAACCAGAATATATTGTATTAAAAATACTTTTTCAATAGAAATGAATGAGAAAATAATTTGCAGCCCCCAGAACCTCCAAGGCGCTCTCATGGCCGTGCCATGCAGAGTCCTGGGTCACAGATGTGGCGTGAACACAGAGGACTGCTGAGGGACCGGGCAAGGCTTTTCCAGGAGAGAGGGAGGGAAGAGGCCAGCACAACAGGGAGCAGCATGCACAAAAGCAGGGTGGCGCGCACGAGGACTTGTGGACTGTGACGCCTCCTGTTGATAACTCTAAGGACTATCTGGAGACTCCCTGGGAGACCTCTGCTCTGGAGCTTCCTGCTGCACCCCCCTCAGTCTGAGATGCTGCCCATCTGGTCCTGATCGCTGGCCTTTTACGTCGCAGGGCATCACCTCCAGGACACTGCATTCCTAACGCTCAGTGCTGGCTCTCAAGGGTGCACCTAAATATACGGTCAGCCTTGTTGCTGGGCCAGGAGGACCACAGGGCGGCATCTGTGAGCCCCTGCTGTGTGGCCTGATGTACATGCTCTCTGCTTAGTAGGGCCCTCGTCAGAATCTCTGGCTATGGAGAGGAGAGCTGTCTTTCCTACATCCCAGGAGTGAAGCACAGGGCACCCTGTCTACAGATGGGAAGGAAGTGACTGGGCACTCTCTTGATTCTCCTGTAAAGCCGGCCTTTGTTTTCCATCCAAGTATTAACCAGGCCTGGCCCAGCTTAGTTTCTGGGATCAAGTGCGATCAAGTGCGTTCAAGGTGGTAGGCTTTGCAGACTTCAATTTTTGTTTGAAAACTTCCCTTGCCCACCAGGGCCTTCTCTCTCTAGAGAAGGTTCTCATGGGACCCACTCTGTCTTAATACAACCCAGTGGGATCAGCGTTCAGATTCAAGGTCAGTGTGGACGGTAATGGTATAGGCGGGGCTCATCCTGGCACACAGAGGACCAAACAGTTGTGCCAAGGGAGTGTGGGGGCCTGAACATTCACAGTGGATACAAAGGCTGATGCAATAAGATCCGAGAAGCCTCCAGATGGACCAGATCACTGGACACCACTATGCATCTTCCTTGGGAATTTGGGCGGTTTTGGAATACTTTTTTTTCTGAACTGAGGTCTGAGAATAAGGTAGAAGAGACACCTAAGGGACATGTCCAAGAGAGGACTGTCCAGGGGGACTCTTAGTTTTCTTTAGTTTTGTTTGCAAATCATAGAGAACCAGCATCTGTCGGGACTGCTGTTCCCCTGTGGTCCATCTGCCAGGCCCCGTGCATCCCCTTGTCCTCAGCAAAGAGAAAAGCCTGCAGCGCAGTGTGCCAAGGGCTTAGGGGGCAGGCTCTTAACACAGCAGGGCCCGTCAGATACTGCTTCAATGACAACTCAGGCTGGTGCCTGCCATCATCGGTTCCCAGGAACACAGCCTCAGAAAGTCTCTGGGCTGGAAGGAACACTGGAGGTCAACCTCTTCCCACCCTTGGGTGGGAACTTCCAGCCTGTTCCAATAATTCAAGAGTTACTTCGACTGATCAGAAGACCCAAAGACGATTTGTTTTGACTTCTTAGCATGCCATTAAAGAGTTGGTTCAACCACGGACCACTGTGGGCCCCCACCCCAAGGACGAAGTGTAACACATCTCGTTTTGTGTCTAGCAATGAGGGAAGCGATAAGCCCAGATTTGGGAACACAAATCTTTTTGCCCTTCACACTACAGCTATGAGAATGGTTTCCATGGTTACAGCGGTTTCTCAGAGGTGTCGGGATTTTCATTTTTTTTCCCCCTGTAGTCTCCTAAATGTCTAATTTATGAGTAATCAGTTTAGGCAACCTGGAAAGTTTCTTGTATGTATATGAATATCAAGAAACATATTATATATTCAAAGCCCAAAAAGTAGGTTGACAGGCAAAATTTTGGCACATTTTTCTTCTCCCACTATAAAAAGAAATTTGGACTGACTTGAAAATGTTCAAGTTAAACAAGATTCAATGAAAGAAACTCCGTCTTCAGATTCTTCAAAGGCACGTGAGCCTCAGAGGGCTGGGGCTGACCTAATTATGTTTTCTTTAATGTGCAAGAGCTATTTGCCCGGCATCCCATCTGCATCTCGCCATCACATTCAAATGGCAGGGACATTGATTTCTTTTTTAAAAGCATCCTTTGAACATGAAAGTGTTTTTTTTTTCCTTGTTTTTTCCCCCCTTTCCTCCTCGTGAAAGCTGCAATAAGGATGGATCGATAATTACATTGTTGGATAAAAATGAATATAAATTTTATTGAAAAACAACCCCAGCAACAATGTGAGGAGAGCGTCAATAGGCAGCGACCCACATAATCCAGCGCATGTGTTAGAAGGATTAGTCACCTCTGCAGCTTTAGGTGCTTACTCCAAAAGAAATGGCAGACCGCAGATAAAAAGAGCCTTGGAAATCTGACAGTCGTGAGCGAGGTGGTCACACCATTAACCCCGTGTTTACTGCAGGTCAACCAGTGTAGTTCAAGAATTAGTGGAGAGAGAACCCAACCATGGGCAAAGAAAACTCCAGAACACCGGGGAAACTTTTCTCCTTTTCAAGTCCTTTGAGAATCTCGCAGACTTTATTGGCAACGTGGCCCCCCTGTTTCACGACAGGAAACGGCTCTTTATGTCTAGCTCAAATCCTTCATGCTTCACTTAATCTATTTACGTCTCTTTCATCTCAGCGGGCTGTGAGAAGTCCATCCTGGTGGGACAATGAGACATAGGGAGAACTCAGAATATTCACAATCAGCCGGAGAGCAGTCCAGCTGAGCTGGTGGCACTTCCGAAGCGAACTGAAAAGAGGTTAATTGCACCCTTTTGCTCGACCACGCCCCATCCTTCTGCACCCTGGCACCCTTCCTGGGGCTTGCCTGGCACAGTGATGAGTGTGATCAGTTTCACCCTGTCATTGGCATAGCCAGGAGTGTGGTGATCAAAGCGACCTCGGCCAGGCAGGCTTGTGTCCAGGGTTTCTGTCTCAGGAAAAGATTTCTGGGCGAAACACTCTTAATTCTCATCACATTCTGTGTTTTCTCACCATGCCAGCCAGGAAGTCTCCCCAGGCTCTTCTCACAGTTTGCATGGCAACGCTGACCTCGGCTTATCCACGAGGGATGAGAAAAGCACCTAGTGATTTTTGACGGTTGAGGGTTTGCAGCAGTGTCGACTTCGCATATTGACCGCCAGGGGACGCTCGTGCCATTCGGTCGGTCACTGGGACTCGTGGACTCGGAGACAAAGAGGGGGATTTGAATAAAAAGCCTTCAAAAACGCAACCTCCAAATTTCCAGCCTGGGCAGCATGCGTGTAAAAATTCATGAAGATTGGATTTAGTTTCATGTATCTTTACTTCAGTGGAAAGAAATGCAGGCGTTTTTCTGAGTGCTCTTACAGTTGCCTTGACAAAGGGGCTGCCTGGTTAAATGAGGAGGGAGGGGCGTGTGGATGACCCACGCGCTCCGGGAGAGGCTGGCTTGGGTCTCTGGTCCTGAGGACAGCTCCTGTTTATTTGGGGGTAGCATCCTCTACGAGCTCCCGAGTGGATTAATTATACTGTTTTAAAAAACATGGGTATCATTTTCTGCAGTCAAGGCTGTGTCTAGTGTGTGGCTGGAATCGCAGAAGCACTTAATATTTTGTTAAAATATAGCACACTTCTTTCTGCTCATAAAACACAAGGGGTGAGGAAAGGCTCTTTCCAGGCTGTGCAAACACCACCGTTTCCGCTCCACCTTATAGTGGTGCCTAGTGGTGCAGCGTGGCGATGCCTCCCTGGCTTTTGTGCGTTTTCCAGGAGTGAGTGACGAGATGCTGACAGGTAAAAACCGCCCGAGGACCCAGGGTATAAGCCCAAGGCAGCTCAGCCCCCAGCAGCCATGCTAATCACAAGTGAGGCTACCCAGCTTAATACCAGGTTGAAGGACTGAAGTTTTGGGGTTCTGGAACTTCAGATAGGCAGGTCTGGACGGCTATGGCTGAGTCCTTCCTGTTAACCTCTACAGTCCCAGAATCCAACGCGGGGCCATGTAGAGGAGGTTATGAGCATCCCAGGCTGGCTCGGGCTGCAGGTGAGCCTGAGGACATGTGGAGTGGCTCTCAGAAGTGAGGGATGGGGGTACTGGGATAGGCAGAGCGAGCAGACACCTAGAACCCCGAAGTTTGGTGGGGACCATGCTGGAGTGCATCCCTACACCGGGATGGGGTTGTAGTGGCCTCTTGGGGCCTTTCTCAGGCCTTTTCTGCCTGCTGCCTGCTGCAGCCTGCCTTTCCCTCAGCCGTTGCCATGGAAACACCAGCCTCAGGTGCTGCTGAGGGCCAGCTAGGCAGCTGAGGATTTTTAGGACAGGCCTGAGCAAGCAAGAGGCCCTCAACTGTTCCCAACAGAAGGCTGAAGTCAGGGCAGGAGTTGTCAGCTCAGAGAAAGACAGGAGGGGAAATGGCTATGATAGGGCTTTCTCAGAGACAGGCACAAACGTTCTCTCCAGGGGCACGTGGTGATCCCTTCAGCCTAGTTTTGCTTGTAAGGGTCCTCGAAGCAGCAGAATTCTATTATCATATGCTGTCCCTGGTTCTGCTGAAGTTTCTCTGGGACTCGTCTGCCTGCCTACCTAGGACTCAGGTCTCGGTTCACGGTCATCAGCCAGGCTCCCGACTGGTCATGTAGACATGAGATTCCTGTAGGGAACTGGCTGGGGGCATCCCTAGGCTCTGGGCTGAACTCTGGTAAGCACATGAATCGGGGATCTCTCACCCTTACTTGTGGGCTGCTGGACTCCCAAAGACACCACTCCATCTCTGGTCCCCACCCAGGACATCCCTGTGTGCACGAGGCTGTTTTCTGCCCTTGTCACCTCCCAGAGACTCACAGGGATTGGGGGAGAAGAGCCTCTAGTTGGCTGATGGTCAGCTAGCTCCTTTTCCACATCTCCATTCTCGCAAGCTCTTGAAGAACATGAAGTGGCTAATGAAGAGGCACTAGGAATATGGAAGACGAGCGGGTCCCACATTCCCTGGGGTCCAGAAGCAGTGGACAAACACTATTTCTTGGGTGACTGATCTCTCTGGTAGACTCAAACTCAAGCATCATTCTCTAGGCACTGTGTGAAAAGCTTCCAGGGCGGGCAACATCTGTTCTCCCACCCTACTCTACAGCAAGGTCCTAACACAAGAGCAGGCATGGGCGCGGGCGTACACTTCACAATACCTTGGATTTACATAGCACCTTTTTCTTCCAAAGGGCCTTTGCCTCTGTCCCCTCATCCACAATCGCACTGAGTCGAAGCCCTCAGCAGCACAAATTCCTCAATGCCTTTGGCAGAGCAGGGAGACTGAGGCAGAGGCCTAGAAGTATTTTCATGCAGATTAGTGGTGTCCCAGGCTCCCGATTGGGACCTCCCTGGGCAGGGGTGGCCTTGGCCCTGGGAGGGTGCGGGTATATAGCCCTTCACTGGTCATTCACTTTGTACTTCAGGATGTAGGAGTAGAAGTTGTGGTTAGCGTTCTCTAGCACCATGACGTAGACTTCTTGGCAGCCAGTGGTGCTGCAGCTGCCCTCCCAGTATCCCTCGGGGTTAAGGGTCAGGGGCCACGTGTCCTGCCCTTTCACCAGCGCTTTGGCGATACCATGCAGCTTTAGTTTGAAGGGTACGGTGCGGTTGGCGGGAAGGACGCCAGAGAGGGGCTCCAATAGCTCATTGCCCTGCCCCCAGTTGCCGAAGCTCTCGGGGAACATAGGCCAGTTCACCTTGGTGTTGGCGCAGCACAGAAGGTAGTTGAAGACAAAGACGAAGTTGCCTTGTTCTTGCCTCTTCTTCACAAAGATTTTGAGGGCGAACTTGCCCGCGTGGGGAAGCTGGACTTTCAGCTCTGTCCTCTTCTCTCGCTTCAGCTGGAAGATGTAGCGCAGTTGCGTCTCCTCGGTGACGGGGCCGTCATCTCCATGGAGGGAGGCCAGGACGCTGATGCCTTCCTCCACGCCAAAGCTGACGGAACAGCGACCATCACTGGTGTGGATGATGGGGTCGGGGTGGGAGGGCTTCGTGATGCCCATCTGCTCCGAGAACCAACTGGGGCCCACGGGCTGGTGAAGCTCCGCGGGCAGCCGGCCAGAAAGGTCCACGAAGTTGCACTTGAGCGTGTACTCCAGTATTGAGCTGTAGATTTCAGAGTTGCCTTTGGCGAAGATCTGTAGCTTGTGGGTGCCCATGGTTGGAGGGTACACCTCCAGCTTCATCCCGTTCTTCTTTAGGCTCAGGAGCCCGTGTTCCTGCTTGCCGTTGAGCATGAACATGAACAGGGTTGGGGCACAGCTCTCGATGGTGACCGTGGCTTTCCCATTCACTGTGGGGAGGAAGTCTGTGTCAGGTGACCTGGGCCCAGAGGGTGCTGGCGAACGCTTGACAACTAGATCTGGGGGGAGGGGGTTGGAGGGCGAGGGGGATGTGACCTACAGAGTGTGTCCCTGTCTGTGGTGTAAATGCTTCTAACAGGCTCAGTTTTACCAACGTGATGCCGCTGAATGCGGCATTCCTCTGCTTCGTTTAGGTGAATAGTTTTGAAAAAGCTGATAACTGGGGGGAAGGGACCCATGAAAAACCCTGCCCCAGCCATTTGGTTTACATTAGATGAAGCCTGTCCGGATATTTTACCCTATTCCTGAGCAGGGAAGGGGCTAGATCAATGGGCAGAAAGAGTACCATCTCCTCTAACTCTCTCCCCCCTTTTAAGATTTATTTTTCTGTGCCTGTTTGTATGTCTGTGTGAATGTGGCGTGTGTGGCTGTCTGTGGAGGCCAGAAGAGGGCGCTGGATCCTTGGAGCTGGAGTTTCAAGAGCCTGACTGTGAGCTGGATAAAGGTGCTGGGGACAGCACTCAGGTCCTCTGGAAGAGCAGCACCAAGCTCTCTTAAACACTGAGCTGTCTCTCTAGCCCCTGCAATTCTTAAGCCTTACTTCCATATTGTGCTCCCCCCCCACCCCCGTGATTCTTTACCGCGTCAACAGCCGTCACATGATCGCGTCACTTTACTCCGGGGATTTGTGCCCAGGAGTGTTAACGGGGTATTTCCCTGTTCTCCCCTCCTCACGCTTGCTTCTCACATAGGAGTGCCACAGCTGTGTGTTTCTGGACTAGGCTTTCACAAGTTAGTGCCCCCATCCCCTCCCACTGGCAGCTCCGCCTCGACCTGCACTTTTGTATTTCTTTGTCTTGGTCAATATTTTTCTTCTGACTTTCGCAGCTCATGAGGTCTTTTTCTATCTGGGCTTCCCTGGCTCCTCAGGACAGTGCCTGCTCCGAGAGCCTGGCCTTCGGCTGGAAGTTGGCAACCCCATCCCTTACCCCAGCAACTTCTCCAGCCCTCCATGGAGGGAAGCTGGCAAAAGAGGAGGCTGTCTGATTCATACTCACTATGAATCCTCCTCTCTGTACTCGGCAAGGACTCACCCTGAAGACTTGTCTGCGAAGAACCTGCGCCAGCCCTCAGTTGAGCTGGACATGGAGGAGGGCTCTTTCAGAGAACCCACCATGTTCAGAATGAATGCTGGGAACACTTTTCCATGCTCTGCCTTTGCCTGGGCCTGGGTTCTTTGGGAAGAGCTTGGTGCCTCCTAGAGAAGCCTTGGTAGAAGTGTGCTGAGCATCTTAGAGGAGGTGAAGTGCCAGGGACCCCAAAGGCTCTGGAGAAGCCGTGCCTGGAACCTCTCTATTCTCCTGGCTTCTTCCTTCCCTCCTGCACCCACTGACCCTCCCCCGTCTTGAGGTCTCTTCCTTCCCTTCCTTTTTGCTCTCCAACTTCGCTTTCTTGCCTCTCTCCCGTCTCTATTCTTAAGGCAGCTCACAACCACCAAGAAATATTCTTTCAATATGTAGCATGAATATGGAATTGAGTTTTAGATTAGTATAAATTAAGAAATCTGGTGTTTACATTTTTATGTCTCCCAAAAAGGCAAACTCAGCCCAGCGATGTGACGACTGCGCTGTCGGGGTCTGCTCGAGTTTCTTACTGTTTAATGTCTCACAACAGAGACGTAGACCTCTCGCAGCCTCAGGTGCAGGAAATGAGATCCAAAGTGAGCAGCCAGCGGCTGTTGCTTCAGCCTCCAGAGCTGCCACGTGTCTGTTACTTGCCAGAGACCACAGGAGTCCTGTATTCAGGTCAAGAAACTCATGGGGAAGTTGAAGGGCCAAGAAGTACCAGCTCCCTGCTGCCCCCTGGCTGCACCCTTTGCCCCATCCTCCTTACTCTGTCTGAGTGTTGGGCGGGGTCAGCGCCATTATCCCTCAGGCCACTGTAGTCGGTTGCCTCTAGGAGCTCAGGCCTCTCTGTCTCTGTCTGGGATGCAAGGAGGCCCCCTGGTGGCAGAGCTGATGCTGAAAAGTGGGTGGGGCTTAGATGGAAAGGAGGAAGTGAGCTGAGCAGCCTTCCTGAGTTCCCTTGTGTGTCTAGAGCAGGGCCAGGCTCTGGATCCTCAGGGAGTCATGGGAAACACGAGAGCCCATTGAGACCCATGACTGCGATTCTGGGATCAGGTCTTGGCCTTCACTGACCTTCAGAGTATTCAAACATCCCCCTGCCATGGTCCCCACCGTGTGCCAGGGGATGCCAAGAGTCAGTTCAGGCGAGCCACAGGAGACAGCTAAGCTTGGTGGTCGCTTTCCTTGGGTTACTCTAGTGGGAGGACTTCGGTCACTATCGCTTCTGCCTGTGCACCTGCCGCTCCTTACCTGTCCGGATCATGGGCGTCTCTGGGTGGGCACTAAGCATACCCTTGTTGTAGAATTCACTCTTGTGGTACATGTTGTTCTCAAATTGCCTCAGGGACTGAGGTGGCTTCAGCAGTTGCCAGTTTTTGTTGTCTGGGAAATGGTCCTCAATGAACAGGGCGGGGTGGGTGAGGAAGTAGAATTCGTTGTAGCTGGAGTGGAGGAAGACCTGGTTAGGAGCCATGAGTAGGGGTCAGCCTGACCACCTCCACCCGTGTCTGGACATCTCACAGGAGACCCTTGGGACACCTTTATTTAGTTGACCCAACCACTGGAGGGGGATTACTGACACTAGAATGGAATGGGTACTGCCTGTGGTCTGAATGTGGGACACTGGAGACTCTTCTTCAGTGGGTGTGGGCAGTGAAGGCATAGGGAGGTGGGGAGGCAAGGTGCCAGCCCTCTAGTTCCACCATTGAACCCTTCTTGTCTCTGGGCCTGGGGAGCTGTGCAGTAGGGGAATGAGAAGGAAAGAGAGATTCAACTTGAGCTTGGGGATGCTCTGCTTTGCCTAAGGGGTCACTGTTGAGGGTAACAGAGGTATGTAGGGTAGGTGTGGGCGAGCCAGGGAGAGTGCACATCAGAGAGAACAGCCAGTTTCCCAAACAAAGGTGACCAAAGCGGCCGAGGGATTACAACCCACAAGAACATCATGCTTGGCTCTAGGTTAAGTTCAAGGTTGGCCAGGCCTTGAAGAATGATCATGGTCCAGCCTGTATCATGAGGGCCCAGGCTGACTGTGCTCCATCTAAGCTCTCCTCTCTGCCAACCACATCTTTCTTCCTCCTTCCTCTTCCTAGAACAGGAAGTGGGGAGAAGACGAGCATCTGAACACTTAACTGCTGGCAGTGAGGTTCTTTAGCCCCGCTCCTCTTCACATACCACCTGGAGCCAACCCAATGGGATTCTGGGTTTAGGTGAAAGGAGCCATGGGGAGTCTGAGGAGAGACCTAGCTGTGGATGGGTGAGGTGACAAGAAACTCCACTTCTTCATAAGTGATCCAGGGCCAGATTTGGGGGAAGGTGGCTGTAGCCATACAAGGCTGCTTAGCCCATCTTCCCCTTCCCCTTGTGTCCCCCCTTCAACCTGTGCCCCCTCCCACACCACACAGAGACCAGGCGCTTGGCCAAGCTGAGCCTCTTACTTACAGAAAGGTAAATTTGGAGGTGGTAGTGTCTACCAGGCCACTGCCCCAGGTACTGTCCAGCAGGTGCCAACGGCCCTCAAGGTACACAGCATTCCAGGCGTGGTCGAACTCTCCAGAGAAGCTTTGTCCAGTCTGGTAGCCAAAGCCCTTGGAGTAGCCAGGCACGGTGACACACTGCACACCAGCGATCCTGGGGTGGGGACATGGGTCTGAGAAGGGGCTTGAGTGCTGGGGGTGGGGACGGGAAACCAGAGTGCTGGCCAGGTCCTGTCTGCATAGACTGGCTGCAACCCTGCTGCTTGCTATTCCCCTGAGATGCTTCAGCTCACTTCTGAAGTGTCTCCCCAGGGCCTGCTTGACATGATCTGATGCACAGCTTCTCAGGAGGAAAAATGAGGACAATGGTGAGGGCGGTCTCAAGAACACAGGGAGCAGGGAAACTGCAATGTTCTCGGAAGAAAACCAACATGAAAGAGCTGTACACAGAGGCTGGGAAAGTCAAGACACCTCCGGCGGGTGCTGGTGGTGGGGGTATGACGTAGCTGAGACCCAGCTCCTGCCTATGCTCTCCCTAGCATATCTGCACGGGAATGGGAGAGGCAAGCAAACTGGTGTATCCAGAACTGACCTAGGGAGAAAGGATTGGCTGCCAGAATACCTGGCCATCAGTTTTAGTTTTCATGAGTAGGGAACAGAAGGCACCATGCTGCATTGATGTCTTTTACTGACTGACTGCCTGGACCACTGTGTTGGCTAGATTTATGTCAACTTGACACAAACTAGAGTCATCAGAGGAGGGAGCCTTGACTGAGGAAATGCCTCCATAAGATTGGGCTGCAGACAAGCCTGTAGGGCATTTTATTAATTAGTGATTGATGGGGGGGGGGAGTGATTGTGGGAACTGGACTGGTGGTCCTGGGTTCTATCAGAAAGCAGGCTAAGCAAGTCACGGAGAGCAAGCCAGTAAGCAGCACCGCTCCATGGCCTCTGCATCAGCATCAGCCTCCAGATTCCTGCCCTGTGTGAGTTCCTATCCTGACTTCCTTGGATGATGAACTGTGATGTGGAAGTGTGAGATGAATAAACCCTTTCCTCCCCAAGTTGCTCAGGTCATGGTGTTTCATCACAGCAATAGTGACCTGACCAAGACAGTCTCTCTCTGTTCTGTGACAGTGGAAACACTGGCTGACCCTGGCTTTGGGGGTCTTTTTTTAAACGATGTATTCCTCTTGCAAAGCAGGCACCACTTTTGGGGAATTTGGACTATGGGAGATGGGTGCCAGTCATTTTTGGAAACATAAAACCAGGTCTGGGCTGTGGCCAGCACTCCATGACTGAACCAGCAAGGCCCCTGAAGGCCCTGCCTTCCCAATACCCATTGATCCTCCTCTTCATCAGCTCCTCCCCCAACGTGGCTATGGAAGAATAGGCAGTGACAGTCTAGCCCACTTGAAGCTGCTGGCCCCAATGCTGCCAGCGCCCCGGCGTTGGCTCTGTCAATCAGGAAAACTTGCACTGCCCCACTTTTTTTGCGTTCCTAAAACACCAGCATGATAAGCACACGAGCCTATGGAGCGCTGGATGTCCAAAGTGGCTCTGCAGTGGGGCCCCTTTGCCCCAGCAACTGCCCTACCCTCCACACAGTGCTGACCCTGAGACTCTCTCTGATGCCTGCTTCAGGTAGCAGGGCCCGCTCAGCGGGGCAGCCTCTGGATGCATCAGGTCCCAATCCTCCAATCACTGTAAACATCAGGGCCTTAAAGGAAAGGCACAAGGTGATCACACATTCACTGTGCGGATAGGGAGAGGCTTCCCCATGGAGATGAACATTAAGCAGAGTGCCACATGTCATTTGTTGAGCCACTGGGCAAATGTGGCATCAGAAGGTGAAGAGACCCTCATGGCTCCCACTGCTTCCCATGCGGATGAACACGCATTCCACCACACCAGCCTTAGCCTTCCTTTACCGGCAGAGCCACGCCGAGACCACTCACACTGAGATTCCTCGTAGGGGATGACATTTGGTGGAGCCTGTCCTTTAGCCCACAGTGTCAGAGAGGGTTCAGGCCCCCACTTCCCAGGTCATCTTGTGAGATTATAGCAGCTGGGCCCTGTAGAAAATACTTCAGGGGCACTTGGGGACAACCTGTTGACAGACACCAAGAGCAGCTAGACCCGGATGGCAGGATTTTCTGCTGGTGATGGTCCAAAATGAGTCCTAGAGCAGAAGGTTCCCGGGGCGGGAAGCCTCCGCAGACAGACTCTCTGGGTGAAATGTGTGTATGTGGGGAGAGTGAGGACAGGGCGTGGGAGAGATCCTTGATCTCTTTGTAACCGAATTATGGGTGGTTTTATTTCTTTAAATTCCTCTGCATCTTAATTTTTTCCCCTTGGGGTAGTGGGGGGTGCTGTAGCTTAGGAAGAGAATGAATGCCTTGCATGCATGAGGCCCAAGATTCAATCTCCAATACTGTATGAAAAGCAGGGGAGGGGAGCTTACCAACATTTTAAAATAATGATTATGTTACTTTTAGAATTGGGAAAAATCTATACACACAACTTAAGTTATATCCTTCAGTGAATTATTTCCCACAGATGCTCAGAACATTGTGTATATGAATTTCAGTCTGCTGCGGAGGGCAAAGGGAAGCCTATTGTGTTTGAAATGGCTCCTTTCATAGTGAGGGCAAGTGGTGAGCGGAACTGCTGGGCTTGGTTGGGCGGTGCTGGCTCTCAGAGTGCCGGGGTCAAGGAAGGAAGGAAGGAAGGGAGGAAGGGAGGGAGGGAGGGAGGGAGGGAGGAAGGAAGGAAAGAAGGGAAGGAGGAAGGAAGGGAGGGAGGGAGGGAGGGAGGGAGGGAGGAAGGGAGGGAAGGAGGAAGGAAGGGAGGGAGGGAGGAAGGGAGGGAGGGAGGGAGGGAGGGAGGAAGGAAGGAAGGAAGGAAGGAGGACCATTTAGCATCCATGCCATCTCTGGGTGCTGGAGCAAACGGCACGCATGTAAGCAGGCTGGACCTCCTCCTGGGAGAAGCCTGTTTTAAACAGTGTGCTGTGGGGTGTCCTTCCACCAGAAGAAGAAGGGGAAGGGAGATCTGAAGAAGCGAGGTGGAGTAGCAAGAACGGCCTTGCCTAGCCCAGGAGGAAGAAAGGACAGCAGTGGCACAAACCTGTATTGCTCCAAGCTGGCATGGGCGGCCAGAGGGTTTAGCCAGGAAATCAGGACTCCATTCCTACCTGGAACAGTCACCTGCAGTGACTTTGCTAGGCTCATTACGGGCAAAAGGGATGGTTGGCATGAAGTGATCTCCAGGGGGCGATTCTCCTCTGACAGGCAGAGGAGAGGGAGGAAGGGCTGTGGGGAAGGCCTGTGGCAGAACTAAGATGAAAAATGAACTGAGCTGTAAGTTTATGCATTGCTGGAGTATGGCATGGGGATATTTTATTATCTGGCAGCCATGTGCAAGATGAATTGGACAGAAGTCACAATGTAGAGTGTTGTCAATAATCCATAGCCTTTATAGGAAGTAAAATAACTCATATGTGTAAAACAACGATTGTAGAACTAGTAGCTTTGCGTCCAGCCTCTCTGGTCACTGGTCAGAGCATGATCTGTGACCCATTCGTGTCATTGAAAGACCACCGACTGTATAAATGGTGTGCCAAGCACAGGAGTGGGTACTGGGGCACAGCACAACACAACACACCACAGACCCAATAAGAGATTGTTCCAAGATGAGGCTCAGTGGCTGCCTTGGAAGTGCTCATGTTTGTAAAGCAAGGGGTTCAGGGAACTGTCACTGAGAAACCCAGACTGAAAGAGAAGTGCTGAGCACTCTGGAATAGGAGCTGGTAGAGCTGTTGAAGAAGCCATGGAGGCTGAGAAATGTTTCCACCCTTGAATAGCTTGACTAGCCAGCACCAAACGTGGCTCAACAGCCCATCTCAGGCTGTAGAACCTTTTCCTTTAGACAGTTCCAACAGTACCATTACCAGTGTGTCAGCAAAACCAACTTGCATGCAAGACCCATGAGCAAGCCTCCTGAGACACCCAGAACATCAGGAGAAAAACTGTAGCTCAGCCCCAATCAGGGCCAGGGCCCAGGGAGCCAATCAATTCAGGGAGATTTCAGAAGCCCAGTTGGTCATCCACTGGGGCCTGCTGCATACGCACGGAGCAGAGATGCAGGCAAACGGAAGGCAACATTACCTCGTGACCCTGCCTGGCTCCTCTAACTGCCTTAGCTTCCACGAAGGCATTTCCTTGTCACTTTCCAAAGATTTGAGCATGCCAGCTTGCTGGGGTGTGTCCCTGAGTACTGACTGAAGAGGTGATGGGTCAATATCATGATGGTCGTTTGATACAGACATGGTCCAGGCCCTGCCACAGGCACTGTGTGATGCAGCTATAGCCTGTGAGTGGCCAGACCCTACTGGCAGTGTGGGGGAAGGGCTGGGCAGGCAGAGACCATCTGCACACAGCAGCTTCTGACCACAGTGAATGAAACTTGCTTTTCTTCCCTTGTTCTGTTGAGAAAGTGTACTTTCTATACTGCAGAAGCAATGGCGTGTCTCACAACGTGTATCCCTGATTTCTTACAAACTTAGGCATGTCTCTATCCTTGCTACACATCTGTCCATTTCATGATCACAGAGGTTTCCTGTCTAGCCGCGGTTCAGAGAAAGAGGGTCCCTGACTTGGGGACATACAGCAAGCAAAAGGCCAAAGTAAAACTGGAGCATAGCAATCCTGAAGCCAGTCTGAGAGCTTTTGGATTGCACCAGGACTTTTGCGGACCAGGATTCCATTTTAATTTGTAAGGCTTTCAGTGATACATGGCAAAATTAAAAGATGATTTGCTACAGTAACAGAATTCAAGTTCTCATCCTCCGTCATTGTATCTACAAGGAAGGGGAGTTCTTGATGTCCTTTTCAGAGGTCTTATGTGACAAAGTCAGAGCTGGCAATAATTAAATCATTCAAGCCAGGCCTGGGCATGCAGGCTTTTAGCCTAGCTATTCGGGAGACTGAGGCAGGAAACCTGCCCGAGTGACAGAGTGAGTTGAGGGCCAGCCTGGGTAACTCAGAGAGATGCAGTCTCTAAATAAAAACTGGAGATACAGTTCAGGGATAGAGTTCTCAGCTAGTTAGCATGCCCAAGACTCTGGGGCCAGGCTCCGACACCGATGAAAAAGAATAAAAAAAAAAATCCGCATTTCTGAGAGGTTTGGACGACCACGGCGGTCATTTTGGCCAACAGCAGCCGTCTAAGCAGGCATGCCGCTGTCCTTGCTCTCTGCGACACTAGAAGATGGATGGATGGAGATGCAGCTGACATATGATTGGTGACAACCAGTCTGCTCAGTGTCAAAGCCTCAGACCGGTAATAAACTCCTGGTTATCTCAAATCTCTGGAAAATCTGCCAGCTGGTGGTGCTCGGGCTGTGATTGCGGGGAGAGAATTTACTGCAGGCTGACTCGGTGGCAGGAGCCTAGGGAATTAACCTTGGCCCCTGCAAGGAGATTAGGCAGAATCAATTAAGGCTGTGGGCAATGGAGGCTAAAGAGAGACTTAATGTCCAATGATAAAAAGTCAGAAGGAAACTGGACCAACATTTGCACAGGCGAGGAACGGGACTAACAAAACACGTCACACTGGAAACGCAGGAAAGACGAGGGGGAAATGGATAACGCCTGGAAATATCTAAGTCCTTACCAAAGCACTTTATTAAATCAGTCTTTAATGAGGCCTTGCAAGGAGGCAGAGGATTGGGCAGGAAAGTGCGCCGGCCTCTGAGTACAACCGTCTCTAAGAGGCCACCCTGACAGCCCAGCAGCCTAAATCAGCTGGTGTGGATTGCGTGTCTGCAGTTATTAAGGAATCCGCTAATAAATTTGCCAAACGTCTGGCGGTTATTTCAGGGGTGAAGGGACTTAGGGAAGCCATGCATGAATGGATTACTGATCTTTAAAGCAACACTGAAGGGAACTCACAGAACTGGGAGCTATTATTCAGCGTCCCCACAGTGCAAGGGATTTTGGGCATGGTCACTGCTCGGTTGAGTCTATAAACTGATGTAAAATGTTGGGGTGTATTTTAATGATCAGCTGCAGGGCAGGATGTGGCCATTGTTAAGCATCTGAACCAGGTCAGAGAGCTGACAGTTTCAATCAAGACAAGTGTCAGTTTTCTGAATCTATGTGGGTGGGCTGGCGGATTCTGTAGGAAAGTTTGCAAAAGTGTTCCTATATTTATGAAAGACGGGAAAAGTTAAAAAAAAAAAAGTAGTTCCAAAGTCAGCTGGGGTGGGGGGACATCTCCAAATGGCACTTTCTCTCTTCCCAACAGTCCTCCTGTTGCCATGAAAGCAGCAGTCCGTGATACACAGGCGAGGATGAGGACTGGAAACCCGGAAGTGGTTAGTTAGGGATTGGAGCCAGGAGGCTTAGGTGAGATACAGAAGTGCTCATGAAGACACTCAGCAGCAGGATGCTCAGTGGCTATGGGCAGGGATCCTGTGCTGGAAGGAACCCACAACAGACCATCAAGGGTGGGGGCGGGGCTCATGAGGCTCCACCCTTTTCTGGGAACTACTGGTAGTTAATGATTACTGGGGAAGGGAGAGTCATTTTTCTCAATAGTAAACTGCCCTTGTTTAACTAATAACCCCCACTCATGCAGACAATCCTAATTAAACACAGTGGCCCCCAAAGATATGAAAGCAGGAGGGGGGTCCTGTTGGGAAGAAGGGGTTCAGTTTGAGGGGGGAGAAGAGGATAAGAGAGGACCACGGGAGATCCGATCAAAGTGCATCATATATGTATGAAATTGTGAAAAAAAAATGGATAAATTGAGCACAAAACCCCAAATGATTTCAAATCTACAAATTCCTATGAAAACAACCATATTCTGAAACATGCCAGGCAGGCACTGAAAACGTATTGGTGGTGTTCTGTCATTTAAAAGAAAACACACAAGTCTGCCAGGCATATCCTGCCACTTCTCATCGCTCTGTAAATGCCTACTGAAGGCCTACTGTGTGGACCATTCGATGTCCAGAGAAAGGCAGAAAGGGAGGGAGGAAGACAGAGGAAGAAAGGAGGACAGAGAATAACTCTGTTGAGAACCAGGAAGGACAAGGATGTCTCTGTGGCCATTGCCGTGTGGGGAATTCAGGGCCACTTAGTTTTCTTTTCCTTGTTTTGTACAGTTTTGCAGATTATGTATAGTGAGCGATTTTTCTCTAATTCAAAAAAAGTTATTAATGGGCTGACAAGATGGCTCGGTGGGCAAAAGCGCTTGCCACCAAGCCCGATGACCTGAGTTCAATACCCCATGTTACAAAGAGAGAACTCACTCCTGGAAGTTGACCTCTAACCTTCACATGGATGCTATGGCATGTATGTGCATTCCTACCCTGAGATAGAGATATAAACATATTAGAGTTGTTATCAGAACAGTTGTTGTATGCCTATAATCCCAGCACTTAGGCCAGCCTGGGCCACACGGAGAGTTCAAAGCCAGCCTGAGCTAGACTCTGCCTCAAGCATCATGGGAAAGATGTAGCTTGCTGGTGGATTATTTGCTTTCCCTGGGGAAGGCTGTGGGTTGGATTCTTCAGTATCACCCAAAATAAGAAGCTCTGAGACAGGAGCCTAATAGAACACAGACGAGTTTGTATACACAGGCACTCGCTCACTTTCTGGGGAGGGGACTTTCTGGTGACCCCCAGGACTTCCTGCTTGTTTCCGAGGAGAACCCAGGAGACTTCAGAAAGGGAGCATAGGGAGGTATAGGGATCAGTATGGCTCCTCCAGCTTTGAGGCTGTCTAGAGTTACTGGAAAGTCACGTGGCCTGTTCTCTCAGATGCTCAGCCCATAGCTCCTAGAACGGGGCCCAAAGACACCGCTGAGAACCACCACCTGGATTCCAGGCTTTCCTACCAATGGGTCTCTCCAGGTAGACTTCCGTAGACTCGTCTAGAAGTCCCTCCCCCTCCCCTTCCCCAAAGGACAGCCTTTCACAGGCCCCTTGGCATCGGTAGCCACTGTCCTCTGTCTTCCAGGCCTGCCATTCTTTTAACCTTCAGCTGCAGAGAGAAGGGAGAAGGCAGAAAAGGGGCCTTTTATAACCAAATTATCTTTGCGCATTCATCTGCCATTATGTTAATGCATGGCGAAGCCTGGCAGATGGTCCAAAGTCAATTACGCTGGTGTTAAAAAGGGAGAAATTGACCTTTTCAGGACTCACTTGGATTCCCAAGAAGAGTTTGCAAACTTAAGCTCGGGGCCTGGCATGGGGGCAGAGGCACAGAGGGCTTTAGGAGAAAGAGAAGGACACAGTCAGCGACAGCCCTGGGACTCCAGCCTATCACAGGCTGCCTTTCATACCTGCACATTCTTTCAAAGAGGCCAGCATAGCCATCACAGTTGGTCTTCTGGGTCCTCAGGATGTCAGTGGGTTTGAAGGCTTGGCGGTCCTTCTCTTGGGCGGCCTCAACATCGTACTCTGGAGGACAGAGGAGGGGGATGTGAGCACGCAGGGCTCCCAGAGGACCGAGGCCGGCTCCGAGAGGAGGGGAAAGCCACAGAGTCTGCAAGCAGCATGGCCTCCATCTCCAGCTGTGCTCAGGAGGAAACTGGCATGAATAGAAAAAGAACTCCAACCTAGCCAGATATGGGACATGCCACCTTTTGCGTGGCAAAAGGGAGGTAGAGGCTGAAGCAGAAAGGGCCAGCTGGCCCTCGTGGTGAATACCTTTAATCCCAACACTCAGAAGGCAGAGGTGGGCAGAACTCTGTGAGTTCAAGGCTAGCCTGGTCTAGAGAATTCCAGGCTAGTCAGGGATGCATGGTATATGGAGAAGGCAGCCTCCCTCAGGTTCAGACCTTGGGGAGGTAAGTGCATTTTCTAAGCTATACCTGGAGGACAAAAGAGCTTCAGGGAGGTAGGGTGGAACACTGCCTGTTCTTCATGTCAAGGGACTAAGGGTCCACTCCACTACTTGGTGGGTCAACATGTCCCCATTTGCAGGCGTCAGCAATATAGTCCCCTCTGTGGCTTGTAGGGACCTGGTGAGATTCCCAAGTTTGTCCTATGGGGAGCTGTAGGCAGCTGCTTAGGCCTAGGTCCCTGAGATGGCTCTGAAAACCCTGGGAGCAGGTGGAAGCCAGCGGCCAAGGACAAGGATGGGACAGCAGGAGGCAGGAGGTGAGCACCCTCCCTTTCTGGGATTGTTTTACGACCTTCTGGTGTTGTTACTGTGTTCAAACCACTGTGCTCTCCTCAGCCTGTGGCCACTCTTCTTGGAGATGGCCTGTCCCAGGTTCTCATCTCTGTAGAGCAGGCTCACTAGGAATCCAGGCAGCTTCGGGGTGAAGGCCCAGGTCTGGAGGATTTTTTTTTTTACCTTCTTTGGTTACTTTGGGCACTAGGGAACCCTTCTCCCTGACCTAACTCACTCCTCCTCACACTGAGGAGGCAACAAAAGCAGGAGTCTGAGGGAAATGGGCATTCAGGGCTCCCAGTGCTGCCCCCTGGTGGTATACCTATGTGGTGGCAGATCCAGATCCAGATGGCTCGGACCTTTTCCAGATCGCTGTGGGCTTCCTGGAGCAAGTCACTCACCAGTTCATCCAGGCCACTCTTGACCGTTACCTGTGAGCAGAAAGAGCAGCCTGCATTGGCACCCGGGGATATGGGAGTCTAACACTGCCTCCTATAGCCTTCCATTCTTCCTCCAGGCAGGAAGCTGGAGTGGGGCCCAGGAGGACAGAGGCTATCTGGGGATAAGCATAGAGGTGGGGGAGTTGGACAGGGCATGTGCTCTGGCCAGATGAATCTCAGGCCCTAGAGCCTCCTCAGCTTTTCTCTTTCCATCTGGGGCAGTCATGTGGGCATCTGTGTAGCTTTAGCAGCCTGTGGTCGTGGTTAATATTTACTAAAGCATATCTATGCTTGGCTAGTTTTATATCAACTTGACACAAGCTAGAGTCATTTGGGAAGAGGAAACCTCGCTTGAGAAAATGTCCCCACCAGATTATCCTATGGGCAAGCTTATGGTGCATTTTCTTAACTGATGATTGATATGGGAGGACCCAACTTTCTGTGGTCAATGCCACCTCTGTGCTGGTGGTCCTGGGTGCTATAAGAGAGCAAGTTGAGTGAGCCAGGGGGAGCAAGCCAGTAAGCCCTCTGCATCAGTTCCTGCTTTTAGGCTTCTTGCTTTGAGCTCCTGCTCCGATGTTCTGGGATGATGGACTACAGGTTTTAAGATGAAACAAACCATTGTCACCTTAAGGTGTATTTGGTCATGGTGTATTATCGTAGCAGTGGAAAAGCAACTAAGACACCACCTATGTATTTAAAACAATCCTTGGGCCTTCTGTTCCTCACTCATCCTGTTGTGGTTGAAATGTGAAGTGTCCTCTATAGGCTCACGTATCTAAATGCTTGGTCTCCAGATGGTGATATCATTTCAGAAGGTTATGGGACATTTAGGAGGCATAGTCTTGCTGGAGGGGCCTTGAGGTTTTACAGTCAGCTCCATTTCCTGTCTGTTCTCTTCCTGCCTGGGGATGCAATGTGTCCAGTCCCCCCCATGCTCGCACTGCCAATCCCCTCCCTGCCACAATGGACTGTAGCTCCTCGAACCGCAAGCCCAAGCGAACCTTCCTCTGCTAACTTGCCTCTTGTCATTATGTGACCACAGCCATAAGAAAGTGACGAATGTGTGCCGTGAAAGGTCAGTCCTAAACCATCTGTCTGGTTTATTCAGGATATGTTCAAGAGGGGCCTGGAGGTGGGTTTGTCATCCTGACTTAGGGAATTCTAAGTCACCTTTGGGGGCCCTTAATGAGGGGGCCAGTTCTCCTACCTGTGAAGCAGAGGCATCAAGCTTCTCAAAGTGCCGCAGATCCAGGGGCATAGATTTCAAGCTGGACCTGTCCCAGGGGTAGGCTGGAAACACAGGAAAACCAGGTCATCAGGGGATTCACGGAGGAAGGCTGTGAGCCCAAGCCTTATGATCACTCGCAGGGTATGCGGCTGTTTAACTTTCCTTACGCTGAAACACTCATTCCAAGAGCTGCTCCTCCTTAGCAGGGTTCCTTTGGACAAAGTAGTTTGGGAACTGTGACAATCCCTGTCTTGAAGATCCACAGGAACTTGAGACTACTTTGAAGATCCTGAAGATTCAATGCTAAAGACCTAGGCTAATACAACTGTGCCCAGACAATTATTGATGCGCTCTCTCTCTCTCTCTTTCTCTCTCTCTCTCTGATATTTAGCTTGTTTTTGTTTTTTAAACTTTCTGTTAGACATATTCAACAGTGTTGTTGGACCCTGGCATTGTCAATCAGGAAGAGTCCCAGGACCATGAACTTGGTCTTGGTGTAAGGTAGCTCAACACATGTTGGGTATAAAGAAAGCCAGGCAAGGCTGGCCACCTGGGTCCCATAGGAGGCTCCCTGTGGGGGATCAAACTTTGAATCAGGCCACAGAAGTAGCAAGGAAGAGAGAAACTGGACATTGATGTTGGTTTGTGGCCAGCAGCTACCTAGGCTTTCCCATTGGACACAGTGGGAGAGCCCCGTCAGTGCTGGGAGGCAGATGTGGGACTCAGGAGCTGACATCATTGGGCTCATGATTACCCATGGAGTTGGAGCTGGAATATCTCTATGAACACAGATAACCATGAGCCCAGCTACTGTGGTACTGCAGCCACCTCCATCAGAAGGGCGACAACTGGCCAACTCCTGCCGAGTGCCCCACTTCTCAGAGTTCTCATCAGAATAGTTCCCATCACTGCCCAGCAACAACATCAGAGTGACAAGTGGGTACCAAGTGGACTTTCACATCACACTTAGTTTAGCTCTTCCTTGCTCCTGTGTAGGGTTAGCCTTTCTAAAATGGGGTTTAAAATTCTATTGTATTAGCTCCTCCTTTCCTGGCTCCATTTTTTACAATATTTGATATTTTAGATTCAAAATACCCATGTTGATTCATGCCTCATTAAATCTGCCTCCTGAGCAGATTATGTAAGATTCAAATAGAAAAACAGGGTTTTGGAGGACGACGTTCAAAACACCAGTAGCATTAATTAACTTATTCCCATTTTAAAGCAAAATAGGCAGGTGTACATGGTGCCATAGACAGTATCTGGCCTACCAGTGGTGGAAACTGAGGCCTAGGAAGGCAGATTAGAGGGAAAAGCAGGATTCCAATCCAGACCACATATTACCTCATACTACCCCATTCAGTGTTTTTTTTTCTCTGCCTTAACCTGCTGCTCATGGATATTTGACAATCCATTATATTTACTTATGTGCATTTTTTGTGACAGTGGGGATTGAACCCAGAACCTTGAGCATTGGAGGTAAGCTTTCTACCACAGCTACATTCCAAGTCCTCCATCTAAGGCTAATGTATTTTTTCTTCTTCTTTTTCCTTTTCCTTCCTTCCTCCCTCCCTCCCTTCCTTCCTTCTTTGTTTCTTTTCTGAGACAGGCTCTCTAGTTCAGGCTTGTTTTCTCTACCTAGCAGAGGATGACCTTGAACTTCTGGTCCTCCGAGTGACATACAGGAGTATGTCAGCATGCCCGGTTGATCTGGTTCTGACGCCTGAATTCTGAGTTTCACCCATGCTAGGTGGGCACTCTACCATCTGAGCTGCATTTGCAGCTCCAAATTATCATCACTCTGAGTTCTGCTGTTAGTGTCTCCTGCGGAGGACTTCTGTGTCATAGGAAGGGACTGGTTTTCAGCACTGGGATATCTGACATTATAGCTTTTCTTTCTACACTTGGGTCCATGACAGACATTACTAGTCAATCATGACACTCTTTCTCCCAAATCCACAGATCCTTTCAGACTCTTGATGTCTCAGTAAGCTGGTACCAATTGGCTGGAGACTGGACCATGAGGCCAACTCACAGCTTTTTCAAGAGGCCCCAGAGAAGGCCCAGGACTCACCATGGGCATCTTTTCCTCCAGGCTGCCGGGGTCTCATGTTTCCGTTTTTGTCACCTTGTAAACCTGTAATATCCCAAAGGTCAGAGACACTCCAGAAGGGACAGAAAAGCAAGCACTGATGATTCGCTAGGCGGCCGTCCTGGTTGCTCAACCTCTTCACGCTTTCCCTCATACTCCCATCCCCTCACACCACTGCACCATGGCCAGACCTTCCCTGAGGTCCATGGGGGCAGAGGAGAGATGGGACACAGGAACTGAATGGCAGGAACAGGATCTATGAGCCAGAATGTCTTGGATCTCAATGCTTTATACCCTTCATCAGGCCCACACGGTCCCATCAGGACCACTGTGGTCCAGTGGTCCCCGCCTCCTCTACGTTTGCCATCTTGGGACATAGCTGCAGACACTGAGAGTACAAATTAGCTCCTTCCAGATTACCCCAAGACAAGAGCTGACTATGGGTAAGAATGATAACAGAGGCACAGAAGGTAATGGGGCCTCAGGGCCCAGAAGGTCATGTATCCCTCGGAGGAAGTGGCCCGATGCAGTGAATTCTGGGAGGTTAAGGTGGGATGGCAGCCATCAGGAGAATCCCTGGGAAAGAAGCAAAGGAGTTTTTGCCCACTGGTTCCAAGCCAGGTCAGGAAGATGTGGTCTCTCTAATGACAGCATGTGAAGCTGGGGGTGGCCTCACCGAGGCAGGTGGCTCGTGCCCCTAGAGGCCACTTAGGGCTGTAAATACAAGAGCTGAAAGCTGAGAAGTGCTTGCCATTCCCAGAAATAGGTTCTTTTTTTTCTTCTTTCTTGGAAACCACCTCCCATCTTCAGATGAAAGGACAGGGTTCAAAATAGTTAGCACTTACTAGGAACTCAGAATAATCCAGCAAGGGAGAGTTACTTATTTTTTTCCTTATGAAGAAAAAGTAATCCAAAAGAAGGGTACATGAAGCCATACAGTGGCCCCCGGAGCCATGCTAGGCTGCCTTCCTGAGATCCTGACTGTTGAGGACAGTAAGGATGGTCTCAGAGCATTTGGGTTCATTGAGTGGGCATGGGAGGGACTTGAGCCTGGCTGCTCTTGCAGCCTTCCCTCCTCTGCTTGCTTTCCTCATGAAGTCCCCGTCAGCTCAAGAGGCAGGGATGGAGTGTCACTGTGTTCTTGCCGGCCTACTGCCACACACGATAGGTAAAGCCAGAGGTTTCAGGTTTGTGCCTGGTTGTTCCTCTCTTGGCTAGGTAACTTTCTTGGCTGGCCACGTATCCTGGCTGAGTCTCACTTTGCTGACTTGAAACTCTTGTGAAAAATACTAGTTTATGCATGAAAGTCACAGAGCTGAGGCATGGGAAGCACTGTGTAGGCCGCAATGGCATCTTGAAACACTGATGGCAACAGTCTGGGGAGGGGAGGCACCACTGGTTGCATGCCACAGCACCTAGACTGTAAAATGCCCCCATAGACTTATGTGTTTGAACACACTGGTCCCCAGATATCGGTTTTGGAAAGATGTAGATGCCTCTCTGCAGGAAGTGGGTAACTGGTGGGCAGTCTCGGGTCTCTATAGCCTATTTCTACTTCCTGTCTGCTTTCACCATGCAAGGCAGTGAGGAGTCCAGCTGCACACCCTTGCCATCATGGAGCTTCCCGCTGCCAAACCTTCTCTATCACGATGGACCGTGTATCCTCAAATCAGGAGCCCAAACTGAGCCTTTCTCCCTCTAGTTGATTCTCGTTAAGTGGTCACAGCAACAAGAAGACAAAGCAACGGGCCTGGATAGGACAGTCATGCTTCCATCTTTCACTAGGCTGTAGGCTCAAGCCCCTCTTTGATTTTTCTCAGAAGATGTGCAGGCTGGAGTCTGACTCACCCACTCTCCCTGACAACCCTCTATCGAGCGGCACTGTACAGATACATACGCTTCGCCAAAGAGAACTTCTTGAGTAGCTGGGGCATGGCATCTTGGGGGTGGATTTCCACCGTCAGCTGAGTACCTGCAAAGGGGGAGGTGACATCTTCAGCCAAATGCTGCCAGGAAGGGCACACCACCCATGACAGATGTTCAAACAATTGAACACACTTCATTTTAGATCTTTCTGTTGAGTAGGTAGCTAATCTGGGTTTTGCAGAATAACTCAAACAAGGAAAGCAAGCACTCTCTACCCCTTCAATGCAGCCATCACCCTAAGTAGAATCCATGGGAAGAAACACCTGCAGACCCTGGGAAGTCAGTGATGTAAGAGAATGGGGGTGGGGTGGGCTGGCAATGACCAGGGTGTGTGCTGTTTGAAAGAAAATGGCCTCCAAAGGGAGTGGCACTATTAGGAGGTGTGGCCTTGTTAGAGTTGGTGTGGTCTTGTTGGAGGAAGTGTGTCACTGTGGGGGTGAGTTTTGAGGTCTCATATATGCTCAAGCCACATCCAGTGAGACAGACCACTTCCTGTTGCCTGAAAGATGTAGAACTCAGCTTCTCCGCCTTCTCCACCATGTCTGCCTGCATGTATGCCTTACTTCCCGCCATGATGATAATGGAATAAACCCCTAAACTGTAAGCCAGCCACCCCAATTAAATGTTTTCCTTTATAAGAGTTGCTGGGGCCAAGGTGTCTCTTCGCAGCAATAGAAACCCTAACTAAGCCATGGTATGAGACATTGGTATTGAGTTTAGCCTTCTCTTTCCCCCTCTGCCAATACTTGGTCAAAGGCAGAAGTCCACAATGGAAGTAAAAGAGCACTCAAGAAAAAGCATTCAATTTCTACTCAAAGAGTGGGAATGGAGACCCCTAATTGTCACAGGGAGTTGGGACATCCTCTGCCATGTTTTCCCTTTAGCCTATATTTTCCTGATTCAGCCCATGGGCAGGTATGCAAGCAGCTGTGAGGTTAATGGCCAGGCATACATGGCATGCATAGTCTCCCCCCTCTGTCTCTCTGTCTCTCTTTCCCTCTCTCTCCCTCCCTCTCCATCTCTCCTCCTGATTGTTCCTAGACACAGTTCTGAAGAGTATATATATGATAGAGTGAAAAGACCAAAGCTCCAGCTTTCTGGCTAGAGGAAACGGAAGTGGCGGTGAAGGCAGACTTCAGGGTGTAACTCCCTAAAGCTCCCGCGGCCACCTCTGAGCTGTCCTTCACAGGTCTCACGTACTGTACCATAGTCTGAAAACTGAACTCTGGGGAAGACCAATGTCCTCACTCTGAACTGGCCGCAGCATGGTGCATGCATGCATGCAGGCCCTGCAAAGGCCACCACTTAAAGCTGCTCTGCAGAACACCCAGGAAGATCTCAATTTGAGAAAGAAAAGATACTAACCGATGTCAGTCCCATGACAACCCACATTTAACTCAAAGACGTTAAAACGACACCACAGCCATGCTCTGGAGAGTAAGGGCAAGACATTTTGAAATAAATGGAAAGACACAACACTCAGCAAAAAAAATGGAAGATGTCAAGAACCAAGTGAAGATTTTCACACTGAAATAGAAGACAGGTTACAACGTTCTCCAGGACAAAGGAAAGAGCTAGAGAGCAGTACGCAGGGTCCAATCTGAACACTGAAAAAGCCAACAGCACTCCAGGGACCATAGGACCATAGTTAAAAGTCCATTGTTCATGTCACTGACAGACATCTCAATTGCAGACAATAAAGTATCTGAAGAATAACAAACCATTCAAATTTGACAAAAGGCATACACTTATGGACTCAAGTTTAATGCGTCCCAAACAGGATAAATAAAAGAAGATTCAAGTCCAGACATGATATAATCACACCAGTAAAAGAAACCCTCCTGAAAGTGCTGAGGGTAAGTAATACATTATATCTCAGATTGCTACAGATTTTTTTTATCAGAAATAAAGTCAAAAGGATGTGAAATCTTTAATAAATTATGAAAGGTATTAACTGTCTCTGTTCAATAAAAACACCACGTGAGAATGACATAAAGACATTTTCAGATACAGTGAATCCAAGCAAGACACTTTGCTCAATGACAGGCCTACTCAGAGCAAGGAGCGAATCAGAGATAGAGAAGTATTATAAAAGCGTGGGGAAGAGCCAGCTTATCAAGATGTGACAATGTCAAATATATATTCACCTGAATACAAAGCTTTAAAATACGTGGACGAACACTCTCAGAATTATAAAGAAGAACGGACAAGTGTACATTCTAGTCAGAGTTTCAGCGCTCCTCTCTCAGTGATGGAAGCAACCAAGAAGATGAAAATCAGCCACTGAGGAGAAGTATTAAGCAGCACCATCAGGTGGCGTGGCCTGTGGTGGTGTGGAGAATGTCACATGCTGGTAGTGGAATACACATCATGTCACGTGTTCATGGGGTATACGCTAATATTCCCGGTGTGTGGAGGACGCCCTGCACTTCCCAAGTGCTTTGCCATGATAAACATCAGGACACTGACATCTTTGTTTTTTTTTTTTTTTCAAGGTAGAGTTTCTTTGTGTAGCTCTGACTGTCCTGGAACTCCCTCTGTAGACCAGGCTGGCCTTGAACTCACTGAGATCTGCCTGCCTCTGCCTCCTGAGTGTTGAGATTAAAGGCGTGCGCCATCAATGCCCAGTGTGGATACAGGCATCTTTAACACTTTTCAAATCAGTTTCTATGGGCAAATTCTCCAGCTTATTGAAGGGAATGGGGATTTTGTAAGGCTTTTATTTGACACTGGCCAGCTTTCCCATGAATGGTTCAATTGATCTATGATTCCACCAGTGGGGTAGGGGATGATGCTTCCCCCCATTCTTGTTGTAGTTGATGTCAAAATTGCTCCCACTTTGTCTTTTTCCCAATGAGAAGCGTTTTGTTTTACTTCTCGAACATGGGCAGCCCTCAAGAGTTAGTATGGCCAGTTAGCATGCGGTGGAAGCCGGGTTACTATTCAAGGTTTGAGTTCAGCCGCGGAGAGGCTTGGCAATGCTTGCTTGCACCCTTGGCATCCCCGCCACAGTGCCGTGTGTGCAGCAGACTGTGGGTGAGAGACCACAGGGAGCAGAGCAGGGCTGCTCAGGTGAGGCCATCTGAAACCAGCTGGTCTCCAGCCAGTCCACCAGCTGACAGCCAGCACATGCTCCAGCCCAGCCAAGAGCCCAGATCAGCTGGGGATGGCGTGGACAGTGATCGGCCGGCAGACCTGTAGGCTTGGAAGGTACCAGTGCCGCTAGCAGCTGAGCCCTGTGGTGGTGGATAACACAAACATGCCTGCTAAGCTCACTGGCACCCGCTTTCATAAATCCTTTAAATTTTTATTAACGAAGGGTACCTTATTGTTTTATGTATTTCTTTAATTTTTTAGTGTAGTGGGTTTTTAAAAGATTTTACTTGCTATTTAAATTTGTGTTTTGTACGCTGACTATAAATATATACACATATGTGTGTGTGTGTGTGTGTGTGTATATGTATATTGTTTCCTTCAATGATTTTGTAAGGAAGAGTTCCCTTTATTAATTCTTTGTTAAATATATTGCAATTATTTTCTTTTGTGGAGAAACAATATTGATTTTCTTATGTACTCTTAAAGCCTGCTTTGCATGCCAAAGAGACCAAAAATAGGATGTGTTCTCCCAAGACCAAAAGGCTTAACATTCATTTAAAATATTTAATTATTTATTATCTAATCAGTTAGTTAATGTGTGTATCTCTGTGTGTATGCCTGTGTGTGCATGTGCCTGCATGTTTGTGTGTGTAAAGGCTGAGAGAGGACACCAGGTATCCTCTTTCTCTCTCTACCTATTTCTTTGAGGCAGGGTCTCTCCCTAAACCTGGGGCTTGTGTTTTGTCTAGGTTGGAAGACAGCAAGACTCAGAGAGCCTCTGGCCTCTGCCAGTCTCGGAGCTGGGTTCCAGGCCTTTGAGAGGGTGCCTGGCTTGTCACGTGGGTGCTGTGGTCTGAACTCTAGTCCTCATGATTGTGCAGCAAGTGCTCTTAACCTCTCAGCCATCTCTCTAGCCCCACATACAGCTTCAAAGTATAGCATCTAGTGCATTCGGTGCCAGTGAACACCGGCCTTGTGATTGTGTGTGGTGAAGAGGCTGGGTATTTCAGGGTTTGGGGCACGAGTCCATTCTAGCCAGAGGATCAGAGCCACCATCGCTCACAGCGTATTCCCTTGTGGGCCAGGTCAATGTGGCCTCGTCACTTTCTCATGCAATTCTTTCTGAAGTGTTTTCCAAGGTCATGTGTGGCTACAGATGTCTTAGGGAAGATGAAGTGTGAAATGCTCCCCCACGCGCTCTCTCTTTTGTGGGCAGTCACCCAAAGTGCTTTCAGCCCCACAGTAAATGGGCCTGTCCGATCCAGGGTTGTTTGGAGATCGCTGGGCAGAAACGACCTCCATACCCTTGAAGGAACTGTGAAGGGGAGCAGCTCGTTGGCCTGGGGTGCGACAATGAGGTTGACATTTCTCCTAACTTAGGTACGCCCAGCCACTCCTCATCCAGCCATGTTTCTTTGTTAAGAAACAAATCACTGCTGAGGCGCCCTGGGGCCCATGGGGAGGGGGCCTCATGTTTATGGGGTGGGGCTGTGGTCCAGCAGCTCTGTCACCATCTGGGCCCCCTCTCTTCTCTCTGCAAATCTTCACTCTGTCTCCTGCCCAGAACCTGGCTGCCCCTAGGCTGTGCTATTGTATTATTCCTAATGCAGTCAAACTCTCACCCCGAGTCTGGAGTCATGTGCTCCCTCTGCTCCCCCAGAGATTGAGGAGAGCATCTGAGAGATGGCCCTTGATACCCCAGAAATGGCCTGGAGTCCTCACTCTGTGCCAAGATGGATAGCATTCACTAGAGAGGGAGACAGTGCACCAACCTCACTTTTAGATCAAATGAAACTCAGGTTTTAATAAAAAGAAATCCTTTCCCAGCTCTCGTTAGAGAGAGCATGGTCTAGGGCCAAACTCAAGTCAGCTAGATCACAAGCAGATGCCAATCACACTGACCTTCACCACCAAGCAACTGACAAGGAGGCCTAACTGGCCTCCCTCAAGGCACCCTTCCCCAGCAATTCATTTGCCATCTAAATAACCTTCTGAAACTGCAGCCTTGGGCATTTAGTAAAAGCATTTTAGGGATTATATTCTTGCCAGTCCTATGAAGTGGCTTCCAGGCCACTCCCTTTCTTAACAGTGCTGGCTCTCCTTTTCTCTTTTAAAAACAGGGATGCACACAGGGTACCAAGTCTATGTGGGCACTGTCCTGGGCCTGCCATTCACCCAGTCAGGTGGTATCTCCTACACGACACCTCTCCTAATGGCTCTAGGTTTTAATCGGTATTTGTCTAAAGGCTTAATTTACTCAGAATATCTAATGTGGGGCTGGTAAGTGGGTTTTGTGTTGTTCATTAACTCTGACTGATTGGAAGTGGTTGCCTGGAGCATCGATCAATTAACAAATACTGCCATGCAAGCGCATGTGCATGAGTGTGTGCATGCATGCACGTGGGGGTAGACAGGTGCGCGGAGGAGTCCCAGAACTTACCTTAGACACTCGGCACCATTGAATCTTTTTACACGTGCTGATACACTCACAGCCTGGACATACTTTTATGTTACACTGACAGTCAGGAAAATCTTAGTTAAAGCATCTGTCATCTTAAGGGCACTCTCAAACGAACCATGCACAGCCACATCTTCCAAGACGCATGCTCTCTGCATCCAGGCTGTAGTAGTTGGCAATCAGTCAGCTGTGCAAGCTGGGAACAAGCATGATGGGTGTGATTTCAAAACCGACTCCTCAGCCACAACCCTGAGGGACTGATGTCACAGCGTCTCCAAGCAATCTCGTTCCTGTCATCCGACTCACATGCCTACTGTGGAGCCATCTTCCAGAGCCCGTTTGTACTAAGATCCATGTTTTCAAGGTGCTTTTCATCACCCGCTGTATAAAATCTACCACTGAACAAGCTGCTGAGCAGGGGCAAAGCTGAATCTTTCTGAACCAGGGCCTTGCATTTCTCGCTGGGGTGGGGCAGGGATGTTGTATTCAGCCTACTTGAGAGGTCCCTGTCTTGCAGGGGTAGGACAGTGTGGTACCACAGTTATGTCCACTTGGCTTTGAGAGGTACACAGACATGCTCAACTCCTGGGTCTGACTCATTCTATGGAGTTGCATAACTTCAGGCAACGTGTTTGGATGTCTCTGTGCCTGAGTTTCTCCATTTTTCCATCCATAAAGTGGATCTCAGTTTTGAGAGGCGGTAACTTCCCATAGATTGTGGCTGAGAGGGAGGAACGAGGAACCATGAAAGGTGCCTAGCTTCATATCCGGCACACCCTGGTGTCCTACCTCTGGTCTATGCTGTGATTGTACCTGCCAAGAAAGCTATTGTGGGACTGACAGGGTCTTTCCCTTCACGGGGTTTTTCCTCTCTCCCTTGGCCACAGCCACCCACTCTCCACACCAACCAGACACATGCCTGCCTATGGTGTCTTCATGCCAAAGCTTCTAGCTAAAAGGCTCTCCCCATATGCCCTTGTGTGTTCCCCGCTACCTCTTTTTTCATTCAGATGATATGTCTCAGTTATTACTCACCTGTTCTTTTTTCTCGGGGGTGAGAATTCTGGAGATCAGACCCAAAATCCTCATGCATGCTAGTTCAACGCTAAGCCACACCCCAGACCCATCTATTCAGTTGACAATTGTTTCCTTATAGAGAATTTTTAGGTTATCCACGCAGGCTCTCTGACTGCAAGGGAGATTTTGCAGACGCGCCTTAACTATAGATCTCAGAGTGATTATTCTAGGCTATTTGGTTGGGCCTTAATGTGACCACATAAAACTTTATAAGAGGAAGAACTGCCTGCTTATAAGGAGAGGAGGCGATGTGATAATGGAAGCGGAGACCGGAATGACGGTCATAAAGTCAAGGAATGCTGGCAGCCTGTAGGAGCAGGAGGCAAGGAGTGGACTCCCTTCCAGAGCTTCAAAGGCCCCAGCCTGCCGACACCTGCCTTTTACCCAGAGGAGCTGACTTCAGACTTCAGACTCCCAGAAGCTTAAGACAAAAATCTTCTTGCCATTCTTAGCCAATGAGCTACAGGAGACTGCCCCCACCATCCCTCCTGCTTTAATTTCTCCGTCAGCTTTGGTTTTGTTCCCCACATGAGATAATGGCCACCCATTCATGAGCTTTCTAGCAAGGTATCTCTGTCATGAGCGTTGGGCAGCCAAGTCAGTATCAGAGATGTATTATGGCCTGCATTGGTACTTGGGCTTCAGGTACTTGGGCACGCCTGTGTCCCTTGGGTGGTATGGCATAGTTTCCTTTTATATTATGGCATCAGCAATGGCAGAGAGCCTGAGACCTCCCCCCGCCCCCCAGGAGTCTTCTCATCAGGTTGTCTTCCAGCAGTAGTTTTGGAAGCCTCACTTCCATCTCATGTTCTTAACTGCAGACTCAGCCTGGCCAGCAGTGCCCCTCCCTGCCTACCATTTCCAAGCACCCAGAGCAGTACTGGGAAAGCGAGGACACTCAAGGAAGGAGCAGGTGGCTTCACCTTGCTGCCGCAGACTCAGCACTAAGTGGCATGCTTCCGCAGGCTCAGCTTCAGCAGAGGTCAAGGAATCTTTGTGACTCAGGATAAAGGAGGACTTAGATGCTGTGAGCCAGTGGGGAGATTGGTTTCCAGGGAGCTGCTCAGCTGTGTGAAGGTTAACAGCTGAGAACTTGCTGGGGTTGGAGGGGAGGGTACCAGTGAGCTGGCCTTGACTCTCGCTGGATAACCATCCTAAGCCTTGGTCTCCTCATCTGTAAAGCAGCGAGACTGTCAACCGGTTGGGACTGCTTTGATAATTCACTGTGTATACCGACTGGGTCCCAGACACATGTCTTGCACTCAGTGAGTGTAAGCTGTAGCTGTAACAATGGCAGTGATGAGGATGGGGTTCCATGACCCAGGGGCTTCATTTCTTGACTGAGGGGGAGGGGAGAAGGGAAGACTTGGACCACGCAGCTTCTCAGTTCTTCCTCTGTGATTCTGGGAGATGAAAGGATGCTCTAACCTCCGTGGATCAGAGAGGAGTTACTCTCTATAGCCTGATCTCCATATCCTGTGTTCTCTGACTGGGGCTCCAGAGCCAGACACACAGGCACAGGAGATAAGACAGCTAGCAATGAGTCTCCTTACCTTGGTTGTCATAGGAAGTGATGACCTGAGGCTGCTGAAGGCATTGCTTCTCTGACAAGTTTCCTATTTAAGAAAGACAAAGAAGGTGCCAGTGACCACTGTGACCATGGTATAATGTTCCCTGGTTGGGGACAGAGGGACCTGGGTGCACCCAATACAATTGTATGCTGGTGGGGGCCAAGCATATCTACAAGCCTGGTCCAATGGTGCACAATGCCACGGTGTGAACATCTCTGGGCTAGCACAGCCATACTCCTGGGAGTCCACAAGTGCACACCCCTGCAGCAGAAGCCTGCCCAAGCTGGGGTTCACTCCAGTGGTCTGTGAAACCACCACTTCAGACTTTTGACCACAATTTCCAAAGCATTTTCTCACACACAGATGCCTGACTGATCACCACACCTTTCCGTGGAGTGGGCTGGGAGGTTCCAACACAGTACTTGAACTCTTAAGTTTCCCAGCTCCTAGTTCATCTTCCTTCTGAGGAGCAAAGGCATCGACTTGCCTCTAGCCTTGAAGATGGGAGGATACTCAGTTTGGTTTTGTTTCACCAATATTACAGGACATCCAACGTGTTTGAGTTCTCTGTACCCACTGGGGACATTTTCAAGTCGTGATAGCTCATAGGGTCAGTAGAGATGTCTACTTCTTACTACAGGTCATCATGGGGACCCATGGTCTTTTCTATCTCTCCTAGACATGAATTCATTTCTGCTTCATGGCTGCTCTGTGGCTGTTGACTGTCCCTACGGAGGCAGCCCCTGAACTCTTCTTCATGGACATAGGAAGAGTCTAGGGAAGGTCCAGGATTAGGGCAGAAGGAAGTTCCCACACCACTATTCCCTTTACCCTTCACTATCTCCTCTTGCTCACTGTTCAGCCTGGGAACTAGCATATCTCTAGGGTTGCTCTCCTCAACAGTGCAGCCAATCATCTAGGCCACTCAGGGCTTCTCATGCCTACTCGTAGCAGAAGTTGGTCAAGGTAGGTAGGTGAGGCACTGAGCTGGATTAGACTTGGGATCCACACAGTAGGGGCTTGCCTCGGAGAACCTGCATGCTCCAGCCTTCTCCCACGAACAGGTTGAAGCCATGTCCCCAATGCTTCCAGAACACGGATGACTAACTGAGGCCAGATCCACTGTCATTGTGTGCCAACATGGGGTGACGTGGCATTGCTGGGCTGGAGCTCTAGGCCACTTAGGCGAGGACAGGGAGGCTGCCTTTCTGCGGGCATGGCTGGCTGTACCTCCATGAGGAAACAGGAGCTGGGAAGGGAATCCTCCAGGAGGGTGATTGGCTGGCACAGCTTGGGTGGGGTATTTATAGTCAGGGCCGCACAAGTGGTTTCTCTCTAGCTGTAGGGCTGTAGGGCACTGGACACTGTGCTGCTAGGCAGACTTCAGCCAGGACCAAGGAGAGCAGCCAATCACAGCAGGGGAAGCCCGTTGCTGGGCAAGCTATGGAGAGGGGTGGCTCAGCCCAAACACCTGCTGCTCCTAAAAGTTTGGAGTGTTCCAGGATTCCCCACCCTTCCTCTCACCAACACCCAAGCCCAAGGAATACACAGGGTGGCAACAAGAGGATAGATGTGCCCCTTTGGGTCAACACCACGCGCAGTCACAATGTGCACACTGTCAGCACACGCCAGGGGGCAACTTCCTTCTGTGATGAAACTCCTCCAACTGCCAGGGCTGGGATCCTGTTGGTTACTGGGACTGGGTGACTGGGGTACCGACAAGGCACCTATGAGACAAGGTCAGTTTCAATGCTAGTGTCCTGAATCCCAGCATCAAAAAACATGGAAAGAAGCAGCTCTCTTTCCCCTATGCATGAACACCATTTAAAATGTAAATGAAGTCGTCCATCGAAACTACACATATTGGTAGGATGGCCGAACCATCGTGTTTCCTGGATTTAGGGCTTCCAGAGACACTCTCAGGAGCCTTGTATTTATACCACCTCTTCAATCCTGAGATTTTTTTTTTTTGCAAGGACTATTTAAATCACCCTCTGTGGACTGATACCGAGAACCCCAGAGTCTTTTAGAACTGTCTTGAGAGTGGCTTACTATTTCGTTACGACTTCTCCCCAAACTCCCAGCCAACTGTGAAGATGCTCAAAGCAGAAGATATCAGTATTTCCTGAAAGGCCCTAAAAGGGTTGCCAGGCGATTCATCCAAGGCAAGAGAGCGCTGCACCCACAGGATTTTCTCTTTGCATCCACCAGTGGCCATGTTGCTCACTCACATACTCACACATGGACCTAGCAGGCACGCGCACATGCTCTGGGCGGTCATTCCAAAGGCTTCTCGCTGGCCCACAGCACTTTACTGGCTATGATGTCAACCGTCAGCGCCCCAAGTGGAGTCTCTCCCTACAGCTCAGCTCCAGTTAAAGAGGCCTTTGTGTGGATCTGTTAGCCAGGCCACAGAAGCATGAGTTCCCTAGCGGGTGTGTATGCGTCTCGAAGATGACTCCTCCCTTTGAACAAGGTAAGGGACACGGGGAAAGTGCAATCATTTGAACACACCCCACAAGGACAGGGTTCTGGACCCACTTGTTATCTAGTTAATCTCCAACACTTACACACTTGTGCCTGGCACAAAGTAAATGCTAACAACAGCGGTTGAAGGAATAAGCATGGATGGTTTAGGTTTGTATTTTGCTTTCCCTTTTTGGCATTGCCTGAAGGCTGACAAAGCAGTGTCATTCTCTTGTGGAGGTTCAGCTGTTTGATCCACGGCCCACATGGCTGGGGTCTGATGGAGCTCCTGAACCACATTCTGGGAGGAGAGGTCTGATTTCTAGCAGAATTCTGCGTTCCCATCATACATATTATCATCGATGGGTTTCCCCGCAAAGCCAGGGTAATCAGCCTCCGAGGGACACAAGGTCCACTATATTTGGCTTGTCCTTCATGTTTCAGAGAGTTTCGGGCATCACGAATGAGCACTGCCTGGACCCAGACAGAAGAGGCCTTGGAAACGAACTTCTTATTGTATTGTGGAGCCCAGGGAAGTAGGTCAGTAAGGATCTATAGCACCCTTGACTGGCTCTTTCCAGGCCTCAAGTAATACTCTTTTAAGGCAGGCCACTATCCTAGTCTGTTCAGAAACAAATAAAAGCCATTTTAAACCTGTGTGGTTTTTGTGGCATGAACAGCCCTGCCTCTGGTGGGAATACGCAGACACAACCCTGCCTCTGGTGAGAACACACAGACACAGCCCTGCCTCTGGTGGGAACACGCAGACACAGCCCTGCCTCTGGTGGGAACACGCAGACACAGCCCTGCCTCTGGTGGGAACACACAGACATAGCCCTGCCTCTGGTGGGAACACGCAGACACAGCCCTGCCTCTGGTGGGGACACGCAGACCCAGCCCTGCCTCTGGTGAGAACATGCAGACACAGCCCTGCCTCTGGTGAGAACATGCAGACACATCCCTGCCTCTGGTGGGAACACGCAGACCCAGCCTTGCCTCTGGTGAGAACATTCAGACACAGCCCTGCCTCTGGTGAGAACATGCAGACACAGCCCTGCCTCTGGTGGGAACACACAGACCCAGCCCTGCCTCTGGTGAGAACACGCAGACACAGCCCTGCCTCTGGTGGAAACACGCAGACACAGCCCTGCCTCTGGTGGGAACACGCAGACACAGCCCTGCCTCTGGTGGAAACACGCAGACACAGCCCTGCCTCTGGTGAGAACACACAGACACAGTCCTACCTCTGGTGGGAACACGCATAGTCCTGCCTCTGGTGGGAACTCAGCCCTGCCTCTGGTGGAAACACACTCACTACCCCAAGCAAAGCCAAATCCTCTCTGATAGCCCAGCCAGCAAATAAACGGGTGCTTATTCACCACAGTTTTTTTTTTTTTCAGCTGCAACCTCCAGAAAAGCAGGAGCCCTGATGCCAGGAGAACTTTCCAGACTCACAGTGGCCAAAAGGCCTGGCTGAGCTGCAACAGCCGTCTTTGCTCATTGATTAGATGTTAGGGCCAGTTTCCCAATGAACACAATCCAAACCTTCCAGTTATTTTTCAGGGTATTGAATTATAGAAACTGAATAGAAAATAGAAAGAAAAAGAGATTTACCTTGAAAGCCATTTCTTTCCAATTCTTGCCATTTCCGGATTCCATTTCTGACACCTTGGAGTCCTGTGAGACAAGGACTGGCATGAGGCTCTTTGTGGAGGAGGCCCTAGGGCGAGTGCCATGCCCTGCTGTACCATCTACAGACCCATCTGTCTTAAACAAGGCTGGTGGGGACCGAGATAGGCTGCCCTTGAATGTGACACATTTGAGGAAATGAATGCGACCCCTAAATTAAAAACATCTTAAAAATGTTAGAATGGTAGTTTTTAGTGATGGTGGGATTGGCTATCAGGATTTTCCAGAAGGAATTTTTGCTATACAAATGCCCAATACTCATTCCCATGCCTCTAGCACATAAATAAGAAAGCATTGCTTTCTCTCTGCTTTGCCTGTCAATTTCTGGTTGGGGGGGCATCTTGAAGTGGGGCGAGAGAACATGGGACAGAGACTGCCTGTCCCTGTCGGAGTGGAAAGTGACAGTTGCCTACTTTCCCAGCCTCCCTTGCAGCTAGAGTATGGGCCTGTGTGGTAGAGGCATGGTCCATCCGATGCACCTGTGTTCGGTTCTGGTCATGACGTAACGCAAAAGGGAAGGGAGGCTCTCTCCCTGGCCGTGGCTGGAAGTGGCAGTTGAGAGGTCAAGTTCCTGGCACAGAACTGACACATTTCCAGGCAGTGGGAGCCACTGCAATAGAAGCAAATTTCTGGTGCAGGAAGAGTGTCTGATGGACCTTGGTGGCTGCAGAGGGGACATCACAAGATCAGCTCCGTGGCACGCTTGGGGGCAGTGTTCCCCGGAGCTGTGTCTCCAGGCTGGCTCTTTAACCTTTCACCCACTCAGAAGCCCCCAAGTCCTCCTCAGCCTCCCCCCCCCACTCCCTTGATATTTTCTGCAAAAGTCTCCCCACAGTCTGCTTTGTGGGAAGTGCTATTTTAAGGAAATACCTGGGAGAATGCTGGACTCCCAGAGAAAAGAAGAGACACCCTGCCAGTCTTGCAGCCTAAACCCCTGGCGACTCTCCTTGCCTTTGTGTCCCTCTGACTCCTCTCTGCTGCAAGGCCACTGTGGCTGCCTTGTGACAGTAATGGAGCTTTATTCTCCTGTGACACAGGATTCAGGCCTCTAGCTGCGCCTCAGAGAGCAACTAGCTTGCAGGGGACAGGAAGAGACACCCGAAAGTCGGCAGGGCTCTTTTGGGTTCTTGCACATTTGTGCAAGGCCTCCGGACAAGGACTGTGACTCAGTGCTTTCCTCTTTCAGGCTGTGTCCCAAAGTATGGGTACACACTGGTCAGTACAGCCTAAGGCTTCCAGGGTCTGCAGACCTTGGGAACTATACTTTGATGTGGAATAGCGGACCTGGTTCTCTCCATTGTGCGGCATCTTTAAGAAACCTTCATTGGGAAAAATCTTTGTTGAAAAATACCAGTACCTTTCAAGTAGGGGTGCTTTACCTTTGACTTAGGGCCAAAATATATATACTGATCTAGGGTCATGGGCATTTTTGGTAGAATTCAGGTACCTGGAGGGCAGTTTTGATATCCAACACTTCAGGGCTCTGTCTTTACCCTCTCTGGTGACTTTAGGTCAGATATGATGCAAAGGGACTCTACTGGGCAGTGAGGACTACCCTGACTTGGAACTGGGCCTCTCTTGCTACACACGGGGAGCACGGTCTTTCGTATTGTGTTACATGCGACAACAGCCATCTCATTTCCATCAAGAAGCAGAGGACATTTTCTTTCTCCTCCAAAGACCCTAAGCGGGTCTATCCCTTTCTCCCAGAAGCAGAACAAAGAACTAGAGACTTGATTAAGCTAAGCAGCTCCTGTGTTCGCTCTAACTGCTGTGAACACTCTCGACCTGGGGCCTTTCTTTCCCTCACTGCCCAAGCTAAATCACTGCTACAGCCTGGGGCCGCAGGTGGGTCAAGGCCGTCTATAGAACCACTGTCCTAGCAGGGCGACTGGGTGGACATTGGGTGTCCCATGTACACAGAGGCTTTGGAGCCAGAAAAGCCAAGACAAGGCGTCCCGAGGAACTCAGAGCTGAAGGGAGAGGGGGAGTCAGCAGCCATCTTTCTCTGCGTAGTTGCCGTACATTTCTCCTAAAGAAGCGGCGCAGGGTTAGCCTCGGAGACCCTAAAATTAGCCGCAGAAATTTCCTTTAAGACCAGCGCCATGAGGCCCTCCACGCTTCTCAAGGATTTGTCACCATTTATACTCTATTCAACTTGTGTATACAGAGAGTAGAGGGGGATCCCGCCTTCTGCAATCACCCCATAAGCTTTCACTTGTCAGTTTTCATTTTCCCATCAAGTCTGCAGAACAGTAAAATTGAAGCTAAATTCAAAGTGCGATCAGGAGATGTCAAACTCACTGCATCGCACTCATATTCTCTTTACCCATTCATGCCTTAAATTTGTTGGAGGTTGGAAGGGTTGGAAGGGGAAACTGAGGCTCTGAGTTATCTCAAACTCTGACTCAATCAAGAAGATCCTTTGGGGCCCCTGGTGCTCTATGGAGTTCGGCATTCTGCATGGGGACTAGGCCTCTGCAACATGTGATCAGTCTAAGGCCCCGGCTTTTTCCTGCAGAGCGTTTTCCAACGTGGTTTGCATACTTCAGGGAATAACGGGAGGAAACGGGCTTCCGATACGACAGAGCACCCATAGGCCTGCATGGGGAGTCAACCTGGGACAACCACCGCGCGGCTGCCGCTGCTGAGCGTTGCCAAGGGACACCGGTGCTGTGGCGTCCGGGCACGAGCAGCCTTGGGGGAGAGGCTTGGGCTGGCCTCGTTCGGGGCGCCCCCCGGCGGGCAGACCCCGGGGCCTTGTGGTTGAGGTGCCCCGGGATCTCAAGAGGACCTGGGCCAGGCGCGCGTTACCTCCTCGGTTTTGCAGCAGCGCGCTCGGGTCCTCTTGAGAGTCCAATTGCGTGGTTTGGGCCGCGCGCCGCTTCTCAGAGTGCACGATGAGCAGCATGTCGATGGCCACGGCGTTGCTGTCCTTCTTCAGCTCCATGGTGCCGCCTCCCTCCGGGCTCGGCGCCGTGGCTGCTCGCGAGGCTGCCTGCGCTGCAAATGGCCCCGTGCTCGCCGCTGCCTGGCGCGGGAGAGGGCGAGGGCGCGGGAGAGGGCGCTGCCCGGCCGCCAGGTCCGCCCGGCGCCGTGTTTCGCTGACTCTGCCAAATTTACCATTAGGACCCGCCCGGGAGGGTGCTACCCTCCTGAAGAGCTTCTAAGTCACCTTTGAAAGAAAATCCCCAGGCCGGGCCCTGAATTGCGCCTAGTCCACACTTTGCAGGCTTTCTGACCCTTCCTCCCTTGCAAAGGAAGTTCAGGTCCTGGGCTCCAGCAAAGTTCTCCCTTCAGCTGACTTCATCTCCACCATCAAAGAGAAGTCACTGGCCAACCCCGAAACTTCAGATCAGAGCTGGATTAGTTTTGGAAAAGAAAGACAAGCAGCTGAAGGTTGAATTGCAGGGTGTGCAAATGTTGGCCACGCTTTTAGCCTTGATCCCTTTGTTCCCTTGGGTGGGTTAAGGACGTTGATAGCTCTTTTCGTAGGTTGAGGTGTTATGGTGAGGCCCCCATCTCCCATTGACGGCTGGTTCATGGGTTGTGTCCACTGGGCATCAAACTAACAATCATATTTTGCCTGAGATGGAGGTCTTAAAAAAAATCTCCATTCCTTTGGGAAGACTAGTTCTTGCCTGAGGGGAAGAGAGGAGGGGGAGAGAGAGAAGAGGCCAGGGAACTGGGAGCTGCCTGCGGCTGTTAGGGAACTGGACCTGAGAACCCCTTCTATTTTTAGCCAGGCCTGCCCTGCCCAGCCAACAGCGACAGGGCGTTTGGCTGGAGGTCTAAGGAGTGTTTACATGGGTTTCTGCCTGGGAGCCTTTGGCACCATACTTCCACCAGGTGGGCGACAATTCCCCAATTTGTGTTTACATAGGTGATAGAAGCCACCTCTGCACGGAGGACTTGCCCTGTACCCCTGTCGTGGTATACAACTCCTGAGAGCTCTGGACCTTGTCCTTGCAACAGTCACTATCATATAAGCCGTGTTCCAGCTCCAGTGCCACCACTTGCTGGCCCTGTGACCTTGGGCCAGCCATTTCCCTTCATTTCTCACCATCAGGGCATCGTTGGGGTGATAAAAATCCTCCCAGGGCTCCCGTGAGAATGGCATTCCTGTACAGTTCCTGGCACACAGGTGGTCTGCAAATAGGAGCCGTCATTCTTCTCTCCTTTTAAAAGGAGGAAGCATACAGGTAGAGAATCATGTCAGTGGTGGAGCCGTGGGGAGCACACCCTTAGATCCTGAAGGTCCTTCTCCAATGTCCGTGGCTCACACTTTGGTGTGTGTGACGGCTGATGCCCCACTGGGTCACCACTGCCCCCTCTCCAACTGGGTGTCTGTCATTAGCGTCCAGCAATGTTGAACTGGTGTTGCTAGACAGCTGAGTCTCTTGATGGACAGGGGAGATAGATGACACTTGAGGCAGGTTTCATTCTACTAAAGTGAGTTCTGTTATATGTGTGTCACCACACACACACACACACACACACACACACACACCTGGCTGGGGAAGAAAGGACTGGATTATGCAAACCCTCTGGGTCTTGGAAGTTGTTCAGGCAGACATGGGAACCTGAAGATCTGCACGCATCCCCGTCTCCTGGTATGGCCTAAGTCCTTCGAGAGCCAGTGTTGTGGTTTGGATGGGAAATGTTCCCCACCTGTTCACTGTTGAGAGACTTGGCCCTCAGGTGATGTGGGAGGAGCTTGCGGAACCTTCAGGAGGCTGGGCCTCGTTGGAGGAAGTAGGTCACTGGTTGGAACCAGCTCTGCTTTCGGTCTGAGTTCTCTGAATCCTGGTTGGCCACTGAGCTGGGAGCAAGCAGCCACATTCTCAACAGCAGGGGCAGAAGCCTCTCCTACTGCTGGGAACTCTGCTGTGGTTTCCCCACCAGAAACTGAGCGAAAACGAATCCCTCCTCCTCTAGACTGCCTCTCTCAGCTATTTCGTTCAGAGACAAGAAGTAACTAATGCGGGCCTGCTATCTGAGAGCAGCTAGAAGGGGGTCAGTGTAGCGTGATTTCTAACTGGTCTTAATAAGAAAAACCCAGAGTCGGATAATAGGGGGTGAAAGCTGAAAGATCAAAGAAGCAGGGCAGCTGGCCACTAGTTCTGACCTCTACAAAATCCTCAGACCGAACGGGGTATCCCGTCTCTACAGGTCCTCAGACTGAATGCCTCGAGAGCCTGTCTCCTCCTAAATTATATTCCTCTCTCCACCAACAATATCCCTTCCTGTCTCCACCTCCCTAGAGTTGGGATTAAAAGCACATGGCTCCCAAGTACTAGAATTAAAGGTGTGAGCCACCACCACCTGACTCTATTTCTCTTTGAGACCGGTTCAATCTGGTGTAGCATCCCAGGGTGGCCTTGAACTCAGAGATTCCATTGCCTCCACCTCCCCAGTTCTGGGATTAAAGGTGTGTGCCAGCGGTGCCTGGCCTCTATGACTAACTAGTGGCTCGCTCCACACTCTGATCTTCAGGCAAGCTTTCTTTGTTACAGCACAAATGAAATATCATCACAGGTCAATGGTATGACACACAGAGATGCTGCAGCCCCTTTGCCTAGGGTCACATTCTCACACCACACCCTTGCTGTCATGATGCCAAATGATGCTCTTAAGGACACAGCTTAATGCCCCTTTCAGAGCCATTTCTGGGGAGAGTGGTTAGCTGAAGTATACCAGCCAGAGGTCCAGGCAAATTGTGTGTGTGTGTGTGTGTGTGTGTGTGTGTGTGTGTGTATGTGTTTGTGTAGTGTGTGTGTAAACTAGTCTTTGGAGCAGGGCTTGCCTTTCATTCTCAGGACTAGAGATCTGGGCCAAAATCTTCCTTGTTGTAGGAAGCCATCCTGTGGGTTGTAGGCTACTTTGCAGCATCCTACTAGATGCCAGTAGCACCTCCTTCCCAATCTTAATGGCCTAGAATGTATCCAGATGTCAACAGATGTTTCCAGAACTACTGTGAGAGCGAACTCCTGAAATAGCGTCAACTTGACTTTGGATCCCGGTGCTGTCAGACACTTGGACCTATCCTCATGGTTCTTAGTGACAAGACCCAATTTCAGTGGCCTGCAAAGCTGTCCTCTGCCTGGAGCTTGGAGGAAGGACTGAGTGTGCTTCTCTCTCTCCCTGCTTGAATCCCATCCCTTGGCCTGGGTTGACTCAGTTGTGTTCCCTTTTCTGATGACCTGTTCTTGGAAAGAGAGGGAGGATTATAGAGAAGCTGAGGAGCCTGAGACATTAGAATGGATCAGTCAGGAAGGGGTGGGATGAAGAGAGCAGCAGAGAAAGACCGAAGCGACGGACACAGCATTTAGGCAGGGGTTCTACTCCATCTGCTCAAATCCCGACTCCAGTTGAATCTTCAAGACGAAAGGAGCTAGCCTGCAACTCACACCCTGCACCAGCTCATTCCGTATACACCCATGCTGCAGCCCAGTTCCAAACACCCCTACCCTTTCAATCTTTAGGTTTTCCTCCAGAGGGTACCCCTTCATCCTGACACCAGATTGAATAATGGGCTCCAAAGATTTTCATTCCAACCTAACTAATGAATCTCTCCTCTTGGTTTAGGTCTGATAAGATAGAGGAGGCTACTTCCATTTTGGGGTCAATCTTTAATTATTTAAATCACAGTGAAGTGGAAATTTCAGAATCCAAATGACACAGAACAGTCAGAATTCACTCGGCACCGAATAAGCAATGCTTCGGTAGAATGATGGACCACATGTACGAGGGAGGGTTCACAAGATTATGATGGCACTGAAAAACTCCTACTGCCTTAGGGACATGATCACTATTATAACAACTGTGGCACAACACAGCGCACACGTGTTTCTATTGATGCTGCTGTAGGCAAACCTATTATCTGTCAGTAACCATAGCAATATATTTATGCAAAGTACATTCTTGATGATAGTAAGAGGTTATTTTACTCACGCTTGTATTTACACTATACTTACCCTCTCTCCTCCCTACACTATACTTTTCTTGTTACGGTGTGCTCTTATTTATAAAAAAGCTTGCTATAAAGGAAACCTGACTTTGTTTGAAGATGCCATAATGCTATCTTACATATGCTAATGTAAATACTCTTTTTAAAACAAAATTTCTTGCTCCATTACTGTGCTTTTTTTTCTTGTGTTTGATTCAGTCTTGTGTTTATTTGTTCATCTTAACCCTAGAGACAATGGCTACTCTATATATGCACCTGCATCTTTATCTCTCAATATCTATCATGCATTCACATATCTAGTTATTGATATCGTCTAACTGAAATAGGTAGTAGGCTACACCAAAGCCTCTTAAGTGGTTCAGTGAGACCAAAAGGATGTGAGGTATTAAAAAACTTGGCAACAATGAAATGTTTCTAAATGTACAATGACCCAAAATTAACTCAAAATCAAATGTGTAATTGGTCTGAGGTATTACTGGCAGGTCTCACCCTAAATGCATTGTAGGACTTGACCGCAGCCTTGGTTCTGAACACACGACATGCACACGTAGCACCGTGCATGCCATCCCACCACGAGACACCAACCAGGGCTGCCCTAGATACTTTGGCTCAGATCCAAGGCTACATTGTACATTATAAATTGGAATGAACTGTTATGTTTCTATATGTGCTGAAATTTTTGTGCATACCAAATTTTGTGCATAGAGTTTATTTATAGATAATAAAAAATTTTAAATATATTCCTACTATTATTCCCCCAGGATAAAAACACTAAATTAGTTTACCTTTTTATTGTATTGTGTCAGAATATTTGATTCTAAAAATTGCTGCTCAAGTTGCTGACATGAATTGCATTTTAAAAAATGCAATGAATTTCTGTTTGGGATTAGGATACATTTTCCAACAATTTCTGAAACAACCCTAAATATCCTTATGCTGTTTGGTCCTTCCTGTTTAAACAAAGCCATGATCTCAGCATTAATGGTTATAGAATCCAAACGTATTGAAGACCTGG